AAAAGGGCCCAGCAGAGCACGTACTGCCTGATGCGGCTGAGGAAGCATGGCCTGCCACAGGAGGTGCTATGTCAGTTCTACACGGCAGTCATCGAATCAATCCTGTGTTCTTCCATCACGGTTTGGTTTGGGGCCGCCACAAAAAAGGACAGAATCCGACTTCAACGGACAGTTAGGACGGCGGAAAAAATCATTGGCACCGCCCTACCCACTCTTGAGGACTTGCACACTGCAAGAATCAAGATTAGGGCACGGAAAATCCTCCTGGATCCCCCGCACCCTGCCCACCACCTTTTCCAGCTACTCCCCTCAGGCAGGTGCTGCAGATCCATGCGCACCAAATCCAGCAGACACTTAAACAGCTTCTTCCCTCTAGCCATTAACTCTCTAAACAGTCACTGACGTAGTCACTCTTCTTGTTCAATGATTTTCTGCACCAACTGTACAAACTGTCATAGTATTGTATTCTACCACTGATCACTTTAGCTCTGCTTGATACTTTGCACATTGTCTCACAGTTGTCACTGGTTGGTCACACTGCACTACGGTTCACTCACATTACGAAATGTCCTTCCATACCAATTTGTCATGTCCTTGTTTATGATGATACTAGTGCAGCGTGTTGTACCGGAGACAAATTCCTAGTGTGTTCTACATACTTGGCCAATAAAGATGATTCTGATTCTAATTCTGACATGCCCAAACCTTCCTACAAACCAAAAACATCACATAAAATACACTTACTCCTCTTCACACGGCATATACCTTATTCAGTGGTAATTAACCGTGTGTCCACATAAGTCCTCGACTTGGTCCAGATATGGACTGGTGTCAGTCATTGAAAAATTGCCATTATATACCCTGCCCTCCATAATTATTGGCACCCTTGTTAAGATGTGTTCTTTATCTGCTAATAAATAAAATTTTCTCTCGATAGTATCGGACCAAAATTTAAAAACAACTTTTAATTCAAGTGCATTTATTCAGTGGGAAAAAATCTACACATCTCCCAAAATCCCACATTAAAAAATATTTTACATCAAATCATACATGTCACAATTATTAGAACCCTGATGTGAATACAGAAAGAAGGATATTCAACCATTCCTATTTGCATAAACTGTCTCAATTATTCATCGACCTGGGTCCTCTACTCTGCACTTTCCTCTTGAGCTTACCCTACAGGTTTTCAATGGGATTGAGGTTTGGGGACTGAGAGGGCCCTAGGAGGTGCTTGAACCTCTGTCTGGTGAACCATTTCTACAATTTTCAATATGAGAATATGCTTACACAATATAAATTGAATTTATTTGTGAAGACTTTTCACACATCTTAACCAGGGTTAACAATAATTATGAAGGGCACTGTGAATGTGATGTTCACATTACATTATGTAAATACCAGTGTGGATGTGTCTCTTTCCTGTCTAAAAACCCACTTGTGTCTCCTTCATTCCTCTACAAAGTGCCTCCATGTTTGGGACCTGGATGTTCGTGGAAATCACAGAGGCCTGTGGAGACTCTTTAGAAAGAGGAATCATATCCTAGTGGTGGCTGTGCCAATCTCCCCATACTCGTAAGTTAACACCCAGTCTTGACACGCATTACACTCTTAGCATTCTTTCTACCAGGGTGACGTTATACGTAACAATGTGCAGTTTCAATAATTTTTAGGAGCAAGATCTGCGTGCACTAGTGTAAATGGATTTCGGATTTTTCTCTAACCCACGCAGGGTAAATAATATACATACAACTGTACTGTACACACATAGCCACAAGTATGTTGGGGAAAAAACGCCATTTCAAGTTTCAAACTCAACTAGACACATTTTGATTTTCATCAACACATTTCTGGTATAATTCTAGCTGGATCATTCCCTCTTGGAAAAAAAATGCTGTTCATTTAGGGCCACATTCTCCCATTTAGTACTTACCGTATTTTCCGCACTATAAGGCACACGAAAAGTCTTCCATTTTCTTCAAAGCTCACAGCACGCCTTAAAATCCGGTGCACCTTGTGTATGGTCATTACGGTAATATATCAACCCCAAGATGGCTCTTTGCTGGAGACATGCTTCCAATTTTATAACTTGCTGTTGGTTCAGTGAACTGTGTCGCTGCTTCATTAAATAAGTTTTTCTTGCAGCTCCGAAAAAAGGAGAGCTGTGGTGTTGTTTTTTTGTAAACGCACACTTTATTCATGGTTTTCACAGTCTCAATAAATACAGGTACGTCTTTGTACGTGGTACGTGCCTTCTCCTTCCGTTCGACTCGAGAGGCGTTTATGACCGCCTCGGAAAAACGTAAATTTACAGAATTTATTTTGTGATTTCCTCGTTTGTGAATACAGTACACAACAAAGGAATAAATAACAAACACTTCTGACACAGTCCAGTCTCTTACATTTTACTGACATCTGATCATTCCGTTGGAGCTACCCTCAAGGAAATGCGAAAATAAATTCTGTAGGGGGGCTATCTAATTTATTTTAAGATTTCCTCGCTTCATTTTCTGTTTTGATGCATTATTTTCAATTTTCGTAGTTTCATTGAAGTAATCGTTAATTTACGTTTTTCGGGGGCGGTCATGAACGCCTCTCGAGTCGAACAGAAGGAGCGTAGCTCCATCTAGTGGATACATTGTAGATTGCGCTTTATAATCCAGTGCGTCCAATATTTGAAAAAAAAAGACAAAATAGGCCATTAATTGAAGGTGCGCCTCAAAATCCAGTGCGCCTTTTAGTGCGGAAAATATGGTAAGTTATTATTATAATAATTCAGTTTTTTTATGCACCTACCTTGCACACCTGTCCAGGCTTTTGACAGAACCCCCGAGGGTAAACTGGCAATGTCTGTGTAACGACCAAAGAGGCGTGACTCATTGAAATCTGTCTAATATGATATATAATATTACACACACACACACACACACACACTCTTTTTTTCCATTTCATCACATTCAACTGGTTGGACACCCCTACTCTAAAATATACAGGAACTGAGCTTTAAGTAATTGAATGTCCCGTTTTTGCCCATTTTTGTATATTTAACAAAATTTTTGCCCCCTTGGGCTACAGATTTCATCCGATTGATTTAAAACTTGGGCTGTACCATTCCAGCACCTGGGACAACAAGACATGCGGCGCGTCGTGGTATTTCACATTCGGTCTGAAGTAGTCTATTGGCGGATTACACACACATGACAGGCTGGGTGTGTTTCTGTCAGCCGTTAGTGAAATGGGTGTCCGGTTAGGGACGATTGAAGGGACAGACAGAAACACACCTGCATCCTTTTTAAAAAAACTTCTCGTCCACCGTCCTCCATCCCCAAATTTGGATGGACCGTTCCGTCCCAGGTGATATCCCAGGTGATAATCATATACATTCTATACGACTGTCTTGTCGCTGAATAGATGAAATGTTGTCACTAACTCTTCTTTCTTGTCCTTTGTTGTAACCAGTGTGAAGAAACCTGCCAATATCAAACCCATCCACTTAGAGCCTCCCACCAAAGAAGAGGGTGCACCAGCAGAGCAGCTATAAACCTCTCTCTCTCGCTCTCGCTCTTGCACACACACATAGACTTATACTCGTTGATACAACCACACACAACCATACAACACTTTTTAACTAGCCCAGGCCTTAACAAATTTGCCAACAGTTAAAAATACGTGAGACCCACAACCTTTACATTTTTTATGATTAAAAAAAACAGTTAACATTGCTAAATCTGACCCAATTAATCTAATTCTATTTCCCTTAAAATGGTGGGATCCGATTTGATAAACTATCTTCCCCACTATATTGCTGAATTTTTGTGTGTGTGGGGTGTGTGGGGGGGGGGGTATCCACATGTTTAGCAGTCATTGTTTTTATGCCTTTTCGCTCCTTTTTATGTGAACAAATACTGTACAGTATTGAGAAAATATAAATATTCATGAATGTAATGTGATGTCTAGATTTAAGATAAGAAGCATTTGAGCAGCTAATCAAGCTGATTGGATGCCAGTAACTTTCACGTATTCTTGGCTAGAACTTCAAAAATCTATTACTCCCAAAGCAGAACTGCACTGCAAATCTGGTGTTAGTTCAACACCTATATTATTCGTTTTAACACCGGCAACATGTCTTTGTGCACCCACTTTGCCCGATGTTCAAGTAACATTTACTCGAGTGGTTGTTATGTGCCTGTGTTTCTGTCACATGAGCACTTGTTCACAGTTGTACAGCGTCAGCAGTTGTACAGTGAGCGTGTTGTTTTTGCGTGTCGGCATCAGCAAATTACATCCACGTATTATTGACAACATTAGAGTGACGAAAATGTGCATTCTGTGTGCAGTCTGACAGACGCACAGCTTTCGCTGTATATACCGGCAGGAGTATTCAAAAATGCGCTGTGCGACCCGATAACATTTTTACCAGCACACATTGAAAAATTGGGAGCGTTTGCAAGTACCATGGTCACAGTGCCGAGCTGTCGCCCCATTTTAACAATGTATCAATGTTAATCCTCGATTCCATAAGCTGTTATATTACTGCAACACCAACATTCCCTTTTTAACACTGTCCTCAAACTTTTACACTGTCCGATTTGCAGTGAAGATAGGGTTCGGGAAGGATGGACTATTGCGGCTGTTGTTTTGAGAACACAAGATAAGATGGCTGGTGTCGATTGAACATAATTTCCTGCCTCCATACCAATCAATACTGTATCGTATTTTAGATGCTTTTTTTGTGTGTGTGTGTTCAAATTATTTACAATGAATTTTAAACTATAACAAGTTTAAACATGATAAGTGTGTGTGGGGGGGTGGGGGGTCTAAACCAATTATTCATATTTTTTTAAAGTCTCGTCTATTGCGGGTCGGTCTGGAACATATCCCCACGATAAACAGCTTTAATATATTTGCTTAAGAAAGCAAATGGTTTATCACACTGGTCAATAGCAAATTTTAATCAGAGATAGCTGTAGGTTTCTCTCTCAGTATTATTGACGCTGATTTCAAAAAACATTGACTTTCTTTCTAGCACATCAGGTTTTTCAAATGTTTTTATGCTTGACGTATAAAAGCTTGCACAATAAAGATATTACCATGCCGTGTCATTAATATAGATGGTATAATTCCACCCGTTGCTGAAACCTAACCTAATAAATATTACCAAATATATGGCTATATTACATATTATTATATGATTAGGATTATTAGCATTATGAAAACCTGATGTCCTAGACCTAAACTAAAGGAGATTCAAAATAGGCAGGGGAAAAAAAAAATCTACAAAATGTTACTTGCATCTCTGATTTAAAAAAAAAATGTGAGCATTTGTTGATGAGTGTTATCATATTACTGTCATATACAAGTCTGAATTTTTTTTCACCCAAATGAGTTCATTTGTTAATCTTTTAACTACTGAGTGCTTCGGCTATACGGCACATAATGTGTATTTTAACTTATCTGTATTTATTTGCTTGGAAAAAAAACAGCATTTCTTTTTTTTCTTTTTCTTTTTTTTATCTTGGATCCAGTGAATCTTTTTTTTTTGTTGTAAGATCCAAAATAATGGGTTATTGTACATGGATACCTACATATTTTGAAGAAAAATGGAAAGAGTTTGCATATTTTTAACAATAGAGGTTGAGTTTGAGAGTTCTTTGAGGAGCCCTGTGGGGTTTTTTTTTATATTATCTGCTGCATGGCTATCTTGCCTCTGATTGGATTTTCTGTTTGAACATCAAACTGAGCAAATATTCACATATTGAGGTCCGAGTAAATGCATACATATCCGAAGAATTTCCTTTGTCAAAAAATACTCTCATTTGCACTACTCCAAAAATTGACTGAGCTCTGTCTTTACCTTTAATTTGACAGTTGTTGAATGGTTGATTTCATCTGCCTGGTCGCACCCACCGGGAGGCTCATACCAGGATGTACTGAGTTACCAACCTTCTAAAATCAAATTATATTCTCTGAAAATGACATAAAGATGAGATTCTGTTATATTTAAAATCTGAATCGGAGCCAATAAATCATCTTTGTGATGGTCAATGATGGAATATCTTAGTACTTCATTCGGTCAACGTGTCTTCAACAGCAACGGTAACTGAAAATTTGGGAGTACTTAAAACTGAAAGATGTCTTCACTTGATTTAATTCACTTTGCAGTTGCTTAAAAATTATAGATAGTTCCTAGAGTCCGTAGGTGGGGGAGGAAACGGGTGCCTTGAAAGGCGACATACAAATGACAGATTTAGTGAGTTCTTATAAATGACTTGATGCAGACCTGCCAAAAGAGGCACCTTTGAAACAGAAGAACAATTCTGATCATGAAACAAGCTACTTCATAAAAAAATAAAATAAAATAAGATAATACATTTTCAAAAAAAAAAAAAAAGAAAAAATCTGAGACTTGAAGCATAATAAAATAATTACAAAGTAGAGTCAAGTAGCTGCTACTTGTAACATTGAATCTCCTATGTGAAGGGCAACGTGACTGAAAGTAAGTAGAGTCAAGTTAAGCGGGTACTATGGCACAGGTGTCAAACTCAGGAGTCGGGGGCCAGATCTGGTCTGCCACATTATTTCATGTGGCCCGCGAAAGCAAACAAACATGTCATCATCCATTATGCCTGATAAAATATGTAACAAATAACATTGATATATCGTAAACATTTTCTTATTTCACTATATCGGTAACTTGCATAGTTGAACAAAGTTATTCTTGACTAGTTATCAATTTGTTGTGTACTGTAACTTGATGTCTACTAATATGAGGAGGCCATTTATATGGTTTCACCGTCATAACGGCCCTCCGAGGGGAATAGTAACAACAATGTGCCCCATGACAAAAGTTTGACACCGCTGTAATGGTGTGGCTTGAAAGTGGGTGAAGCTATATTAGGGAATTTTGTGGCTGCCAACTCAGTGTAAAATGACCTTTTGTTTACCCGTTCTTTTTTTTTTTCTTTTCGCAAATACATTATATGGTTGCATTATGTGGCTCCATATGAAAGCGTAAGGGGATTGGTTAAAAAATGCTGTTGTGTGTAATATTGTTCCTCATTTGCTCAATTTCACTACAAAACAGCTTTCCAATTACATTACAGAATATGTGCTTGTACAGAGTCAGAGTATCCCATTTTCAATTATGGTTGGACTATTTGAAATAGAACCACATGAGTTACCAATTTATTTTAATTGCTGGCTCATACTGAATACTTTTGTAACTTGTAAAAAGGCCTAAGCGTGGATTCTAAGCATGAGAGTGACAATGATTTGTGGAAGTGACTTGACATTTCTGAGTTTGTTTTATGATGCAAATAAAGATATTTTTCAGACCATTCTATGCATTAACAATTATTTTTTTTTGTATTGTATCATATGTGATTGATTAAGAATAAATTCGAAGCTACTGCTATTAGTCTAATTGGTCCCATTTCATGTACAAATTTTAAATCAAACCAAGACTAATCTGAGTGAACGTAATTCATGAGACGGTTTGGGGCAAACCAAATGGTGATGGAATCCCACAAACATAGACACATATAAAACATAAAACAAAAACATTTATTTACAGAAAAACAAATTACCGACAAAGTACAAACAGCAATTGCTGGCAACAAACAGTCAGGAAAACAAGACACGAACAGAAAGCGCATGCCAAAGGAGAGGTAAAAAGCAAGATCTGAAAATACACAAAACAAAATGGCAAGTAATAATAATAATAATAATAATAATACATTTCATTTATAAGCGCCTTTCAAAACACTCAAGGACACTTTACAATCAAAACAAGAACAATAAAACCACAGATAAAATTATAAATAATAAAAGGAGAGATGAATTTAAACTGAATATGCGATTCCAAGTAGTGATTTTAAATACTTGACGTCGGCAACATCGCCGTCGCGAGGAGCACTAGCCGACCCAGCCAGCCCGGCCAACACGCCATGGTCCGCGGATCGGCCGCCGTTTCTGCTGTTGTCTCCGCGTGGCCGGCGGGAGGACGACCAAAAGGAGGTGATGTCCCTGGAGCCATAGAGATGGAAGCCCCAACGAGATCCGTGGTGGATGCACCTCCGGGACGGACGAGGAGCGACGCCCGGGAAGTGGTGCAGCGCAGGCGGGTAGCCCGAGCACCGGTAGCGGAGCCCAAGAAGCCCCGCCACCGAGCACCACAGCAGTCCCCCCAAGGGTAGACAGAGGAGCGACAGGACAGTCCACAGCAGCATAGCCCAGACACAGGCCCCGTCGACCCCCACCACGGAGGCAGAGGGGTGGAGAAGGCACGGGGCCCCGTCCGGCAGCCAAACAGGCAGGACGCCGCGACAGCGCGACCAAGGACAACCATGTGACGACCGACGGTCCAAAACCACAACGAATTGCGACAGGAGTGTAGGGTTTCTCACATGACAAGAGTAAACCGTAGAAACGACAGTAAACCGTAAAAAAAAACGCTGAAAAACAGAATAATTGCGAGTGAGCAGCGTCAGCCAGACGCGCCAGCATTCACTCAACCCGGAAGTGTCCAAATATGTTTAACCAAGATCCGTAGAGTATAACACGATAAAAAAAAAAAATACCATGATAAGTGGAACATGAAACAAGTGTGCTGCTGGAGTGAACGCCCTCCACTCCAGCAGGAGCTGAAACAAAAAGACCGATCAATACCATGACAATCCACATTTATCAAATTGGTTTCTCAGATCTTATTGAACATGATATTTACTAATTCCAGACTACAGTCTTAGACTTAAGTAATTAAGTGGTACAAAGGTGATGGTACTCTGAAAACTGGGGGTTAAATATTTCTAAATACAAATTTTTAGCTCTGTGTGTGTGTGTGTGTGTGTGTGTGTGTGTGTGTGTGTGTGTGTGTGTTTGTAAGAGCGTTGTTGAGGAATTACGCCTTACTATGAGAACTATTGAAATTAATCTGTGTCCTGTACATCTGCTGAAGCACTCACGACAAGGGTAGTGTTATGCTTTCCTCCTCTTTAGCCCTTGGGCAATTTAACAGCCCCCAAAAGGCCTTCTCCCCGGTCCTCCATCTTTGTGAAGTTCTTCAGGGCTGTCGAGTTCCCTGGGAAGGGAACTCCAAACTCATAATTTGTGCACAGCAGATGTGGTCAGTAGTTTGTCACCATGTCAGAATTGAACTGTATTGACCTTTCTTTGTCTCTGATTTTTACATAAGGGGAAGGACTGCCCGCCCCTCATTAACATAATTAACATACTATGCCTATATATACACGTGAGACTGTATTTCTTCGAGGCTTCCTGATGAAATCTGAGACTCACAGGAGCCCGAATCGATTCGTGTTGCGTTGTGATAAACTTCAGAAAAGACGACGTGGTGTTGGGTCTTCTTCCACCTTATAGAGAGATAAAAGAACCTGTGTCCAAGGAGAGCCAGAAAGAAACGAAAAGCTGACTCTCCTCAACAGCGTGTGTTTGCGTGTGGTTTCCTGTGTGTGTTTGTATGTGTGTAGTAGGACTGTGACAAATGATTAGGCGTGGTGAAAGGGAAAGGAATGCATTCCCAAAAAAATTGCAAATTTTCGTGAGAAGATGCTTTTGAAGGAAACAATTTCAAAGTTCCTCACAATTGAAGATGAACATTATGATTCAGCAGCAGAAACGAAAACATGACACACATGTATTATGATAATGAATGATTACAATTAAAATGAAAATGTTACCAACAGGACCCTCCCACAACTTGAAGTAAGATTAAATTTTATGTCGGATTGATTTTACTTCTCATTCACTATGAAATGAATGTTTTCACATGTGAGGCACACCCGAAAAGATGTTCTTATATTGCCTTGTCAAGGGGCCGGGGGCAAAAACTTGAAGATACAGTTAAAACACACACACACACACACACACACACTCTAACTGCTTGAAATAAGATGATCATCTGGACAATTTTAGCAGCTTGAGCTGGCTGTTAAAATGACTGCCAAGCCGACAGTCGGTTGTCAGATATTCAGCCTTGCTCACGACTCGTACCAAGTGCTTGTTCTTTTGTAGACGTCCATTTTCTCGCTCTTCGTTCATAGTCATGTATTGTATGTTTGCATTTTGCTCTTGTAAGTACCATTCTTTGTTCAACGTGTTATTCATTGTTTTTGTTTTTTTTCTAGTTTCACGTAATTGGCTTTTCCTTGTCCTTTTTGTGACAAGTGATTCTGCGTTGTTATATTGCTTGTATGTTGCAAGCGCTTTGTCTCGTTTGACCCTGGTTCTGTGTTACAAGTGTTTTACGTTGTATTTGTCTGTCTTGTGTTTTGGTCTTTAAAAGACATTTGTGTTAATGATCATGACATTGTCTGCGTTTGTGGGATCCGATTCTGTTCCAGATTCTTCAGGAACCGTGACAGTTTCATGGTGGAATGTCCCATGTCAAAAACCAAGGTACATAGTATGTTTTTGTAAGAGAGCAGGTATAAAGTTCCCCTGACTGAGTCAAATGAAAGCTTCATCTGAAGCAAAAAAATGATTTCAAATGAATTGTCTTTATATATATGAAAATGGTCACAGAAGTCTGTATCATCAAGTTCATTAAGTGGGTTACGTCTGAGAAATCTTTCTGTTCTTGGTGGTTGTCTTTCAGCATCGTGTATGAAGTCAAGGTAATCCATTTTCACCATGCACAATGGAGCATTTGAAGCCTA